TTGAGCAAGTTGTCCTTAATAACATAAGAAGATCCCAGCTGTACCACATTAGGCAGGCCAAGAGAGGGGTCTTGTTATCTGGGCAGCCCAGGATCTCCATATTCACTGCCCAGACGTGTGCCCCAGAGGCGCACTCCATTGACTCTTGAGATAGACAGATGCCACTACCCAAATGTAATTCACTGGAAACGCCCAGAGCACGGCTGTACTGCTAAATGGATTGGCTCCATCCATGTCACATGGCATTTGGGCATTGTCATGAGTTAGGCTCCTGATTGGGGAGTTGGCTGAGTTTCCAAGAATGCTGGGCCCATGTAGGGCCGGCCCTATAATTGGACAGAGTGAAGCAGGTGCCTCAGGAGGCAAATGCTGGTAAGCTGGAAGTGTCAGTGAAGTGTTGGATGACAGAACTGAACAGGCTATGCAGTCTATCCTTGTGCCTTCTAAACTAGACTACTGTGCTCAAGAGGACGCTGTCCAATCACCAGTGCTGAAAAAATATCTTCAACAGCCAGTCTGATCAACTTCCACATGTGAAATGAAAAGATAACAAATATCTGGGCCAGCTGTGGAAGTATTTCTGTCATTTTGGGAGGGGGGTTCTTTTTCAAGACAGTGTGTGTTTTCTCTTAGAGGACCCCACCCACCCACCTTGACAGTAGCAGAATCCTTTCTGAGGGTACATGTGACATTTTCCAAACCCCAGTTTTTCCTGGGAATCCTTGACCCTTTTCCCATCACCACTGCATGACTCTTATTGTACCCACCCCAAAATAGTAAAGTTTCAACTGAAACTAGCATTCTGGAATTTGGTGGCTTTGTCCCCTCAGAAGCGACACAAGTCTGATAGAAAATAAAAGAGACATTTTCTTTAAAACCAAAATGTAAGAAAATCTAAATTGAAAGGTTGTCCTGCATGTAAACCACTTCATTCAATTTGGTCAGCTTAATCCATTCTGGAAGGTCTTCTGTGCCTGCAAATTCCACCCACTTCTGTGAAAAGGGAAAATCTATATAATCATTTTTATATCCTTTGTTATAGGAAATGGGAGAAGGGAGCAGCTTCTTAACATATCTAATTTAGCACCAAATAACAAGATGAACAGGAAAAGCACACAGCTCTGAAACAGACTGAGATGTTTCCAAAGCTATAGATACAGGTTGAACCATGTGTCCAGTGCTCAGCTCTAACATAGATGCATACTGACCATGCAATTCATTTAATGCCTATCAACAAGCAGCTATTCTGCATGTTCACTTGCATCATTTGGAAGCTCTACACATGGACCACACAGTATATAAAGTCGTCCAATGATGATGTTCATCTGTGCACACTCTCCATTATGTCTGGTGAAAGGATACAATGGTCAAGTTTTATACATAGTTTTGATTCTACTCATGTACACACACACACAGACACACACACACAATAGTATATAACATAGTGTATGAGACTAGTTGTAATTCACAAGTGAAATCGACAGCCATTTCAATAGAAAGTCCTCTAGCATCGTGTACAAAAAGTTATGGAAAGGAGAGAAATAATTTGAGTTGATCAGAAAGGGATGGGTTTATTTATTTATTTATTTATTTATCTATCCATCCATCCATCCATCCATCCATCCACCCATCCCACCTGCATTTCAAGAGAGAGAAAGGGAAATTTTCCATTAGGATTTTCCCCACTGATAGGGGGAAATTGGCAGTTCATGGATGGAAAACATTCATGCTGCCTGACATTATGTATCATATAAATGCAAAAAAAGTGGCTTTGAGTATCACTTTAACTGGGAGCAGATACTGTTAATGTCAGCAATATATGTGCAGTTTAATAAGATATTTTTTTGCAGCGAAGTATAGTTTTTGAAGGATTTACTATTTCAGAAGGAAATAGACCCGTGATTTTCACTTATATCTTGAATCCCCGATAACGTGCAATGGGCTAGCAAATTCTACATACAAAGCTTTCTGTCATGGAAAACCTTTCATAATCATTTTTTTCAATATACTGGTACTGCAATGGAAAGAATTCAGAATGGTGTGTGCTTCTCTCTGGAGCTCTGCTTTTTAAACTCATAGGCTTCACAGACATTGTAATATATATATATATATATATATATATATATATATATATATATTCATTCTCATTTCAGCAAAGAAATGTTCAGGCATATGCGGGCATGTTTCTGATGCTCTGATTCCTTAAAAAAAAACACCTTTTGAAGTTGTGCTACACACTGATTTTAATGATCACATAAATTGACACATAGTATAGTGAGTATGGGTTGCTCGTGCGTAAGTTGCCGCCTCTCCAGGCTTTGTTGCCTTGCTAAACCTTTCAGTCTGGGCAGCCCTTCACTTCGTGGCTGCCTCAGTCGCTAGCAGAATCCGTCAGTGGGCGTTTCTTAAATCTTTTCCAACATAAAAGTTGTTTGACACCCAGCCTCCTCCTACTCTCTCTGCGCGGAAGTCTTCTGCGCAGGGTGGGCGTGGGTAGCGGGGGACCAGTGCTCTCCCCACTGGTGTCCAGTGAAGAGTCTGGGAGCCCTCTCGCCGATTCCCCCATCAGCCCCTCCTTATTCCTGGTGTTGCACTGAATTGCTTCCCCATCTGCGGAGCTGCCTCTCTCCCTGCTGGGCCTTTCTCCAGCATCATTAGAGAGCCTTCCCTCCGCCTCTAGCTCCGATGTCAGTTCCCTGACACATAGCTATAATGGGGGATATCCAATATTGTTCATAGAGCAGATCCAATTGAAACCAACGGACTTAAGTAACTCAATACTTGAAACAGTGCCTGAACCGAAGCACCGCTGTCCTTGGGAATTTGCACTTCTCCAAATTCTGTAATTTAGTTCTTTGACAAAAAGAATGTGTAGAACGATGCAAGTACTAGGAGAAGTGGTGTATAAAAATGCATATGTTGGTGAAAATAATATTCAGCAATGCATTCGGTCAGGAGAAATTGCTTGCAAAAATATTCGCAGCCAGGAGAAAGGTGTGCTAAGAGACTGATGGAATTTCAGGAGGCTGTGGATATTTAAGTTATAATTAGAAAAATCATAATAAATATTCATAAAGGAAACAGTTTATAAGAAGTAAATAAGGAGGCTAGATACCGGATAAAGGAAGTCTTTTATTTGGTTGTTTGTATTGTTGTATGTTATGCTCATTGTATGTTATGTTCACATTTAATGAGGGTGGATTTGTGTATTGGGGGTGGGGGTTTATGTTATGTTGTAAATAAAATTCCAATAAAAATTTAAAAATTAGGAATTTCAGGGGAGCTTTGCTGGTTTTTTTAAAGTCTCAAAGTCATGTGGATGTGTGGCAAACTCAACTTGACTGGGGAAAGGAGAAACTGATAAAAACTGAAATTGTTAGATTCATACAGAGAGAGAGAGAGAGAGAGAGAGAGAATCATTCATGCAGTCATATAAACATAAATATTGCTTCTTCTTTAAAAAAGCATATGGAACCTCAGGAAAAGGGAGCAAAGATGTTGTTGAAGGAAAGCTGTGGCAAACTGAGCATGCTCCAATCCCACAATCAATTTGAGAAATTGCTCCTGGTTCAACTGGCATTTAGGAGGAGCCGAGCAAAGAGTGAATGTTCAGAACAGTAAAGGAACGGACGGGGGGAGGTTTGCTCATCCCTCAGACCTGCCGAGTCTTTCTTCTCCTGTCAGTATCCATATATGGAATTAGTCACAAAGCATTTCACACTCCAGACATCCTCCACCGATGGAGCCTCTTTTCATGTTTCCAGCCGGCTCTGGAAATTGATCCCTGCCCACTCACTACCTGCCCAGCTATTTAATGGAATCCGCTCATCTCTCAGACCAACTGGGTCTTTCATCGCCTGCCAGCATCTCTGACGACAGAACAAAGACCTGACTCTCTGTCTCTTTAAGGACATTGTACCTCCTAAAGACTCTCCATCCACGAGAGCAAAGCGAACAATGCAGGTAGAGGCCGCAGGTTTCGCTGAATACACCTGAGGATGTGTTAGCTCAGGCTGAAAAGAAAGACAGGGAGGTCCTCCTTAGTTCACAGCTCTCTTTCCCTAATTCCCATGAATGGTGTTTGCTAAACCCCTCCTGTAAGGTAAAGGTAAAGGGACCCCTGACCATTACGCCCAGTCGTGGCCGACTCTGGGGTTGCGGCGCTCATCTAGCTTTATTGGCCGAGGGAGCTGGCGTACAGCTTCCGGGTCATGTGGCCAGCATGACTAAGCCGCTTCTGGCGAAGCAGAGCAGCGCACGGAAACGCCGTTTACCTTCCCGCCAGAGTGGCACCTATTTATCTACTTGCACTTTGACGTGCTTTCGAACTGCTAGGTTGGCAGGAGCAGGGACCGAGCAACGGGAGCTCACCCTGTCGCAGGGATTCGAACCACAAACCTTCTGATCGGCAAGTCCTAGGCTGTGGTTTAACCCACAGCGCCACCCACGTCCCTTTTAACCCCTCCTGTACTGGACAGCAAACCCACCATAGCATTTGTTGAATAGAGGGCTTCCCGCATCACAAATCCGTCATTGCCCTCCTAACCCACACTAGAAATTGGCATGTTTCTTGTATGTCAGGTGTGGGGAACCTTTGACCCTCCAGACACTGCTGAACTATAACTCCCATTGGCCCCCAAAAGCATGACCAAATGTCAGGGATGATGAGACTTGTAGCTTCACAATACCCCAAAGACTCTTGTTGACATGTTACCGTTTACTGTATGTGTTTGTATTCTTTACAAATTATTTTTATGAAGTTTTCACATTATAAAGAAAAGGGATAACATATGAAGAGGAAAAAAGAAGAAACATCAATAATATACAGCATCATTGCAGGCAGGAAAAGAAAATTATTACAATACTTTCTTGTGTAAACAATTAAACTGTCAAACTTAAATGTCCATGTCTATGTGCAGGCTTCACAGAGGAATAGAAAGAACGATAATAACATTACTTTCCGTGGTCTCTTTTCCCAGTTTGTCTTAATAAATGTGAAGATATATTCAGTCAGGTGTGTGATTATATATATATATATATATATATATATATATATATATATCATACACCTGGCTGAGTATATTTTCACAGACTGTGGAGCTGCCTGACCATGTGCTTCCTCATTTGTAAATGAATTAAAATTATACCATGTTGAAACAAAAACATTTAAAAAACACAAATTAAAAAGTATTCAAAAAGAAAAAGAACAATATCTGGAAGGCCAAAGGAGACCCCTGGTCCCTCTCACAGAGCTACAATTCCCAGAGTTACTTGCAAAGAGGGAGTAATGGTTAAACTAGTCTGAGAACTGTAGCTTGGGGTGGAGAAAAGAGAATAGACCGTCAACAAACTACAGCTCCCAGAATTCTTGCAGTGGAGAGCCATGACTTTTTAAAGAGCTTTAAATGTATGTTGCAAAGGTGGCCTTGGATCAACTCGCGGCAAGCAGCAAGCCATCTTAAAATACATGCGTCCAAAAGATAACAATAGTTATTTCTCCTCTCTTTTTTTTGTCCTTCTATGAAACCTTTTACGGCACGATTTCCAGTCCTCTCTGCGGTCCACTCGCCGAGACACAATTAATAATTCACCATCGCGTTATGAATAATGAAAGCTTTGCCTCGACTATTTGTCATGTCATCCAGCCCGGACCGCTTCTGATCGACAGTCTTGTTTGTTGTACACAGACGCAACTGGCACTGCTCCATAGGAAAACAAGCTTCCTGTCCATCAATCCCTGGGTGGCGGGTTCTTCCTGCTGCAGTTTCTTCATGCAGATTCGCATTGGCAAAGCATAAGGCTCATTTTGTGCATATTGCCTTAAGCTCAGGCTGGCTGGTAGAGATCAAAGGCTGCATCACTTGTGCAATGTTAAATGCACAACAAGCTGCTGAAAAGGAGACAGAGAGGGCATTAAGTGATCACCTGCCATGATCACAGTTTCTAACATTTCCCGTCTTCTCTATAACATTGCATTTTGGCACACTAAGCAAAGTCTCCGACTCTTGCATGTCGAGGTCCTCAGGTCCACCCCAATAACTCACATATCACACAGAATTTTTGTTTAAGATTTTTGGCATAATTTTGGCCACAACTTTACTAAAATACAAATTTGTGAGTGGTTGCTTAGGCATTGGTTGCGACTATCTTCCCCCACCATGGGGGACAGACTGACATTCCGCACGATGCGAAAGTCAGAATAGGGGAATACACTTGGGGGTAACGCGGAGCAGGGAACCTGCCCTCACCCCAAATGCAACCAGGAGCTCATTGCTATGGCCCGAGCCTCCTTGACAGAGTGGACAAGCAATAGTTAGCCCCCAATTCCTTTAACGGAATCCCTTGCAGCAACAGCATTAGAGGGGCAGGCACAGCCAATCCATGCCCCTCAACCAACCAAACCATAAACCAATGCCTAACCACAACCTTACAAATTGTGACGATTTGCTACGCAGTAGGCAAAAACCAAATGGCCCCAGCCAATCAGCCAGATGGACAAAATTCCTACCAGGCCCCCACTCCAAAGCAAACAACCCCATGACAGGCATAGCAAGGTCAAAGCAAACAACCCTATTCTAGGGAGGGAGGGACGGGCAATCCGATGCATGGGCGAAAAGAGGAAGCCCTAGCCTCGTGCAAGGAGTTTTAGTATTTCTGGCTGTCAATCAATAAATGGCAACATTAACTTCTTCCCAACAACAAGGGAAGCCCCAATCGCATCAGTGGCCAACGATCAATTAGCCTGCCCCCAACTTTGGAGTGTCCTGGAGGCCCCCACCGCAATACGTGCTCTCCATGAAGGAGAACACGCTCTATCAGAGAAACTCTCTATACAGTGGTACCTAGGGTTAAGTACTTAATTTGTTCCGGAGGTCCGTTCTTAAGCTGAAACTGTTCTTAAAGTGAAGCACCACTTTAGCTAATGGGGTCTTATGCTACCACCGGGCCGCCGGAGCACGATTTCTGTCCTCATCCTGAAGCAAAGTTCTTAACCTGAGGTACTATTTCTGGGTTAGCGGAGTCTGTAACCTGAAGCGTATGTAACCCGAGGTACCACTGTATATCCATGGCTTCAGAGTCAGGCCTGGGTAATCTTTTAAGGGCAGACCCTCCAAGTGTCCCTATTTTCCAGGGACGACCCTGATTTAGAGAAGCTGTCCCAGTTTCTGATTTGATCCTGGAATGTCCAGCTTTTCTTTAGGATGTCCCTATTTTCATTGGAGAAATGTTGGAGGGTGTGGAGTTATCCGACCCTTGAGCCATCTGAAGGCAATCCTTCAGTATAGTGAAGTTTTTTAAAAAATAAATAAATAATGTTTTATTATGTGTTATATACATATATATATATATATATATATGCTAGAAGCTTAGTTGGTCTCTAAGGTGCTACTGGAAGGGATTTTTTTATTTTGTTATGAATAGAGTTTGTCCTTTTATTTAAAATGCATCTCTGGGTTATTTGTGGGGCATAGGAATTCATTCCTTTTTTTTTTCTTTTTCAAAATATAGTCCGCCCCCCCCCCCCAAGGTCTGAGGGACAGTGGACTGGCCCCCTGCTGAAAAAGTTTGCTGACCCCTGGGACCCAGCCAATAAAGAATTACAGTGAACATAATGGAATCTCAAGTTTCTGTGCGATCCCGGCCAATCAGGAATCGCAAACTGAACATGATGAACTCACAGTGCTACAGATATGAGAGCATCACTGAAGGCATGTGCTACCAAACTGAGACAGAAAGGAAGCCGGAATAATACAAACAAATAGGCAAAGATTTCTCAAGGAACGTCACAAAGCAGGTGGTTTTTGACACTGTCAAAAAAACATTCCTGAAAAACTGTTTCAACTCATCCCTAGTTCTAATTATACAAAATGCTTCTTTTTATCACCATATGGACTTGACAAGTGTATAGAAGTTAATTTCAAAAACTAGATAAGGAGACGTTTGCTGCTGGGTGTATGTGTGTGTCTGTGTTTGTGTGTCTCCTTTAATTACAAGCAATAAAAAGACCACAGGAGCTTTTTTTTTCTCTTCAAACAAGGTGCAGCAACATGTAACAGTGAGCCTCCATTGCACTGTATCACCAGCAAGCTATGTAAATAAAACTTGCATCTTAGAATCTTGTGTCTTAGAATTTAAGGACACAACCCGATGTTTTAGAGAGAAAATTGGTGAATCACTGGCCCATAGGCCAGGTCTGGAACCTCAAGCATTTTTGTTTGGCTCCCTAGACACCAACACCTGGATACAACAGTAACCTCCCTACTCCCTTGTATTTTTGAGCAACTGGAATTGAAAAGCATACTGCCTCTGACAACAGCATGCTAACGACTGAAGATCATAACAGTAAACTTTAGTCACAGGACTAAACTAAGCAGAGGTTAAGCAGAGTCTGTTAAGTCTGTTAAGCAGAGGTTGGGTAGCCATCTGTCATGTATGATCAAGTTGAGATTCCTGCATTGCAGGGGGTTGGACTGGATTCCCCCCCCCCCCCAGGATCCCTTCCAACGCTACAGTTCTATGAGACCACACCCGGAATACTGTGCCCAGTTCTGGGCACCACAATTTAAGAAGGATGTTGCCAAGCTGGGATGAGTGCAGAGCAGGGCAACGAAGGAGACCAAGGGTCTGGAAACATTTTTAAATTGTTGATCCAAAGCCTTCCATATTGTTAAAACAGGCAATCGCTTCATAAAAGCTGTGAAGTCGGCCCTGCGTAATAAGTACAGGAACACAGAGCAGAGATATAAAGCTTGATAATGCACTGTCCAATTATCTTTTGATATGCAAAGGAAAAGCAAGGTTTTTGCAGATTTCATTGTTTGCCATCGCTGCAATGGTGACACAGCTTCCAAAGGTGGACATGTAACCTTTCTCAAACCCTGAGGTTAACAGGCTGAGCGAGGAGAGCGTTCTGCAGTCACTAACATCTTCTGGGAGCTGTAGTTTGTTAAGGGTGCTGAGAGTTTTCAGGAGACCCCAACCTCCCTCACAGAACTACAGTTCCCATAGTGGTATAACAATCAACCCCTCTTCCCAGGGAATTCTATGAGGCAAACAGCGGCCTTCTTACAACTCCCAGCACCCTTAACAAACTTCAGCTCCTAGGATTCTGTGGAGGAAGCCATGGTTGTTTAAAGTGGCATGATGATGCTTAAAACCTATAGTCTGAATGTGGCCTATGTCTACATAAAACCTCCATGGGGAAATAACAAAGCTGGACCCATCATCCTCCATGCCTTCTCCCTAGCCTTTTGCTGTCATCCCTGCTGTCAGGGAACTGACATCAGAGCGGGAGGCGAAGGGGAGGCTCCTAGATGATGCTGGAGAAGGACCCAGCAGGGGGAGAAGCCGCTCAGTGGAGGGGGAAGCATTTAAGCGCAACACCAGGAACAAAAGTGAGCTGATGGGGAAATCGGAGAGAGGGCTCACGGACTCTTCACTGGAACTCAGTGAGGAGGGGACAGGTCCTCCGCTACCTACGCCCACCCTGCGCAGAAGGCTCCCGCGCAGTGAGAGGCGGAGGAGATTGGGTGTCAAACAACTCTTATGTTGGAAGAGATTCAAGAAACGCCCACTGACGGATTCTGCTAGTGACTGAGACAGTCATGATGAGAAAGGGCTGTGCAGTCAGAAAGGTTCAACAAGGCAAATTAGCCTAGAGAGGCACCAGTTTACGCACGAGTAACTCATAATCATCACAGCAATCCGTCAGTCCCTGAAAAGTTGCTCGTGCGCAGCAGCAGGCAGGCAGCATCATGAGCAAGCCCGGAGAAGCAGGCACCCAGGGGGGAGCAGCTGGAGGGCAAACGCTGGTGGAGAGGAACCGAGAGTTGGAGCAGCATGTGGCCATTCTGACGGCGTGGCTGGACGAAAGGCGGTCTCAAGATGCACAGGTCAGACCCACCCCCATAACAAGGAAGGTACCAGGACTGGTGCACAAGTTTGGGGGGAAGCCGCAAGAATACAGTGCGTTTCGAACGGAAATAGAGTACGCATTGGAATTGCAGCATAACGATTTTGAAGACGACGCGGCGCGGGTGGCATATGTTGTGGGTCACCTGCAGGACGGGGCCAGGGAATGGG